AGGATTTGTGCCTGCAGAGAGACCCTTTGCCCTGCCAGACATACCAGCAGTTGTACTGGTCCAGCACCAACAGCACCAGATGTCCTTCAAGGGATTAAACTCCTGCAAGCTCCTGGGGGACTTAAACTCAGGTCTTTGAGAAAAGACTCATAAAAGTCCTTCCTTTCCAAAGCCCTTGCACACTCTTTTCCCTAAGTTCCACCAGTAACCACAGCAGATCTGAAGGCACCCATGCTTGTGGCATCAGCTTGTCCCACCATGGAAGAAGACACTTAGAGGTGTCCTGCAAGTGGCAGGGGGCTGAGAGAACAAACCACCAATACTGTGGCACTGGAGGGGAGATGAGCATCTTGTTCTGTGTTTGCACAGACACAAACATCGTCAGGGGGAGGGCAGGAGCCTGAAGAGCCAGAGGTCAGACTGGAGGGGCTCCGAGCCTCTGCTCTCAAAGCCCTTCCCTACAAGAGGTCTGGCAGTTGCAGAAGTACCTCTGATGTGGTAGCATTGCTCCTCCTCGCTCCAGACCATCCTGCTGCACCAGTACTGAGCCACAGCACTCACCAGCTTCCAGCCACCATCCTCCCTGAACAGCTTCTGGTCCTGGAGGGTGCCAGACAAGGGGAAAACAGGGACATGGGGGAGACCCAACCAGACCCACGCTCAGCAGGAGGACAGGAGCAATAAGGAGGTGCATGTAGAAGAAAAGATCAGAAAACTGGCCTGGGTGGAGCTAATAGGGTGCTGAGCCACCCACGAGGAGCGAGGACAGAGGAGGCAGAGCTGAAGGAAGGGCTCTGAGGTGCTGCCAGCAGTTCTGACAGGAGCAGACAGCAGCAGAGTTTCTCTGGAAGGGACAGTGACAGCCACCACGTGCCCCGCAGGCCTCGCCACCGGCCGTCCAGGGGGCTCAGGCTCCCTCCTACCTCCGTGGCACAGTAGTACTGCTCGAAGGCCAGCAGGACGTCCCCGGTGACGTGGATCTCCTGGGCTCCGTAGATCCCCTCGGGGCAGACCTCCCGGCCGGTGGCT